CCGCAGGGAGCGGTACTCAAGTAAGAGTCAGGGGCAAGGTCGTGGTCTTGGCGGCGACCGTGGCCGCAGAAGCAGTCGTGGCCGCGGCGGCGGTGGTCGAGGCGGCCGCTCAGGCGGATCCGGAGGAGTCGAGGAGAGCAAGGGAAGCAGCAGTGGAGGCGCCGATGGCGGCGGTGGCGGGGACTTTAAGTTCCCGGGCCGGTGCTTTAGGTGTAGACATCGTGGACATCAAGCGATCGGCTGCACTACCAAGGAGAAGGAATTCGTGCCGTGGTGTGCGCGCTGCGAGGGGTGGGGCCACACCAAAGAAAAGTGCGCGACGGAGGAGGCCGTCCTAGCGCAAGTGGTGGAGCATGAGAGCGACGTGGACTCCGTGGAAGACCAGGCGTTTTGTGCCGTGGCAGTCCCCCCAGGCGAGTGTGGTACCGTTGGTGAAGTAGGTCTAGTGGGGGTTGTGGAACAAGGCCAGGCGGTGTACGTGGCCGACACAGCGGCCACGTGCTCCATGTTCCGATGTGCAGACAACTTCGTGAACTACCGTGAGCGTAGCGGTTGGGTGAAGGGGATCGGAGGCGACAAGGCCCCCGTTCCTCTTCTAGGATACGGAGATGTGACCTTAGTCCTACAGACGGAAGATGGTGGAGTACCCGTACCAGTACTGAATGCTGCCCATGTACCAGAGGCCCCCTACAACCTCCTCTCGCTGTCTTCGTTGGCGGAGGAGGGCCACACGTATTCGGGGATGAAGGGGGGCCTCACGCTGACCACGAAAGCCGGGGGGGAGGTGTGGTTCCCCCGGACTGGAAAGCTGCTGACCCAACGAGGCTATCAAATAAATCCAACGCTATACACCGCCTGTGCCGCACTCATTGTTCCTGGCGATGCGAAAGCGGCCAACCCCACTGACCTCAACGAGTACCACCTCGCGCACGGCCATGCCCACGAGACATTGCTCAGGATCACGGCGGAGCAGCAGGGAGTGCAGCTGACGGATGGACCGCTGCTACCCTGTCTTGGCTGTTCGATGTCCAAGGGACAGGTGAAACCCTTCCAAAAGAGCACGAGCACACGCGCANACACGGCATCAAAGAAGAGTTCACCCCCCCTCATACCCCAAAGTACAACGGTGTAGCGGAGAGAGCGCTAGGGTTGATCACTGATGCCGCGCGTGCGTCACGCATCCAAGCGACGCAACTGCTCCCCGACGCACCGAACCACCCGGGTTGTGGGCCGAGGCCATTTCGTGTGCATGCCATCAGCTGAACTGCACCGCCACTAAATCAAACGAGGGAGACAAATCCGCCTATGAGATGTTCCACGACTCCCCACCGCCTGTCGGGTCTACATACCCGTTTCTCAAACCAGCCGTGTTCAAGTCGAGAAGAAAAGCAAGGTCGCAACCCAAGGGCGAAAAAGGATGGTACCTTGGTCCTGTCCACAATCACCCCCGTGACTGCGTTCGAAGCTAACCGAAGCTGGAACCGTAATCACCACCCGCAATTTCACCTGGCGCCACGTGCCCGCTGCATCGCCCGCTCCCCCGCAGCTGCTACCTCTCGCAGATGACG